AACATATGGGGAATATGATTTGAAAGAATTATACCTTCTAAAGTAATCATTTAACAAATAATTAAGCTCCTAAGCAGTGGTATCAAGCAAGAATAAATGTCCTGCATAGTCCCAGTTTATAAATATCTTTTCTGAGTTAGTTAGGGTGAATCCCAGTATCTCATCACTTCCTGAGAGGCTGGGAATCAAGTTTCTGAACATGTAAAAGTGAGAACCTAACCCTGGACTATTATTACTCCATGAAAGCACAGTTACTCTGAGATGTCAACACTGATACAGCTGGATGGTTCTAATTCTTTTTTACTAGATTGCAAAGTGAAGAGCACAACAGTAGTGACGCTGTGAGTACATAACCTCTAAGACACATCCTAGCAGGCACAGAGGCAGCAGACTTGTCTGGCCCCCACGTGTTGCCCAGTCATCTGATTTACATGCCAGTCTTTCCAGTCTCAGGTACCTGTGCAGTCTGGTCATGTAGAACATGGACATTGTAGCCCAAATGTTTGAAGAGGGTGACTAGAGTACTGTGGTCCACATCCCCTCCAGAGCGAAATTCCAGTTCTTTCTCTCCAGTGAAGAGCACATTACTCAGCACCAATGCCAGGCCGCGAGGCCGAGACTGCAACCTGTAGGCCTGGGGAGTGGGGGCAAGTTAGACCATGAGCTTCTTAATGACAGGAACTATGACACCCTCACTAGATTAGGCATCCCCCACTCCCAAAGACATAATCTTCTTAACTTCACCAGGTGAATAGAGACCCACTCACAGAAGGCATCCAACCAGCAATGACTTTCTGACTAATAAGGCAGTTAGAAAATGCACATGAAAACTAGGTTCAAAGACTCATGAAAGAGTATCTAATTTCCAACTTTCTTGCCATTACACAAGACTCACCAACTGGCAGTGTGTTTGATAAAACTCAGGAGTGCAAGGCTTCACCTGAAGGCAAGGAGGACCATCTCCATTATCTAGGGAGTGTTCCATAGTGTCTGTGATACAAAAAGAATGCAAAAAAACTTGTATATAATTCAAACATCAATTCTAGCAGTTAATTATAATATCAGACATCCCTCTGAACTGAGGTTTTGATAAATTTTGGTCTCTTATTCCCCTGACTGGTAAACTCCAAGAGGGCACAGGTGCTGTTAGCTTCAGCTCACAGGGGATCCTCTACACTGGGCTTAGGAGTAGTAGGTACTCAACTTGTTTAATGTCTGAAAAGGTGATCTGATAAATGCCTGTTTTTAACCACCAGGCTACACAATTAGTAGGTTGGTAGCCCCAAACATAGTCTTTTCTCATTCAGTTTTAAAGAAAAGACAAGTTAGTTGGATAGAAATTTTCTACCAATATAAGTTGCTCAACAGGCCAATCATTATAAAGAATATTAACTGTGATGGAAGGGAAATGGGCCCAGCTAATGCACTATTTAAATTATCCTACTAGTCCTTAACAAATTCACTGAAGGAATTGTTCCCAGTATGAAATATGTCTTAGTTAAGGAAAAGTCAAACACTAGTCAAAAAAAGAGAAATCAATGTGTGAGACTCCTTTTAACCCATTAATTCTCACCTGATGACAGGCGGAGCTGCTTGTGAGGGGTACAGGACTCACATACTGGGAAAGGGAGATTCATGTCGTAGTCACAGCTCAACTGTAAAAAAATTTTAGGACTCACCATGATAGACCTTAGGGAGAAGGTTCAGTCCAAATAAAATAAAATCTAGTTTCCCCACCCTGTCCCCAAAAAGTCCTTTCCAGCCAGAGTAACCCTTCCCCAAATCTCAACATATCCAGGGCTCCATACCGGTGGGAGTACGTGCTGAAGACCAGAGAGAGTGGTGAGCAATAGATCCTCCAGGTGCCCCTGCTTGGTCTCCCTCAGTGCTGCACAGAAAGCATCAAAAGCCTGGGGTCCCCTCTTGGGCAGCAAGTTGAGGAGTTCCACATTCTGGCTGAAACTGCCCACTTTGGCCTGAGAGACCAGAACAAACTATGAAATCACAATTATCTAGTTATAATCCCATTTTTTACATAAGCTTTCTAGTAGTTTCCTCATTCATCTTAAGAATTCCTTTTACAGAAAAAGTTATGTACAGGTGAAGTCTTTTCCATTATGTCTTTTCTTTCAAATTCTCTATAGTTAGGAAGGCACCTGCATATCCTTAGCAAGGCATCATGGCTTTCCACATTTTATCATCTTCTATTCCTATCCCTAAGATTAATTTATCTCCTTGCCCCTCTCTTTTGCCTCCAGATACCTGGATGAGCTCCCTCATTTCCAGAGTGATGATGTCCTTCTCCAGGAGATGTTCCAATAGTTCACTCAGCAACAGCTGTTTGGCTAGCACCACTCGGTTCTTTTTCAGAGTCTCCTGATGGTCAGGATGCATACCATAAACCACTGATATCCTATAGACAACAGTAAATGAAAAGGCAGTCGAGTACAAGTTGGGACAAAGAGTAGAGGAAGAGCCATGGACAAAATAAACAAAAAGGGGACTTACAATAACAAAGATTAGGCTCATTATACTGAATTTGGTTAAAATCAAAGATGTACTAAGCAGTAATAGTACACCAATCCTAAGGGAATAATGTAAAATTCTTTGGGGAGTACATGCAACTGAGGCTATCTGAGATGAACTGTCTGACTGTGGGATAAAAATATCTTGATACCAAATACAAGCACACATATATTTAAGAGAAAGGATATATCTCTGTCAGACAGACCAATATTAAGAGAGTTCCAGAAAACATTCATATTATTAATCTAAAAGTAACGTAAGTTTAAAATGACCTTGGGTGAGGAATAAAATAATTTAATACAAAGGCAAAATCAGAAGCCAATGGCCAGATTTAATAGTCACATGCTTTCTAGATTACTTACACAAACGAAGTTTTTTAAAACCTTTAAGTTACTGTGACAAAATGACACTAGAAATGATCAGAATCCTATCAGATGTAGTGATGAACAGTGTCACTTGAAATTATACTGCAAGGTTAAATTACTTTGGTAATAGATATCTGTATTTCAAAGATTTTTTAGTGTTTCTATCAATTTGGGAAGAGACCAACTTCTGCTTATGAATTAAAGACTCCTATTTCCGATATATTATCTAGGTGCCCTTGTATGTAAATGCAGAGGTCTGCTTAGTTTTCAAATACACAACATTAAAGGCTTGTTGGCAGTGAGAAAAGAAAAAAAGGTCCATCACACAACCTAAAACCTAGTTAATTAAACCTTCATCCTGACTTCAAAAAATAATAAAATTTACAAGAAAAACATGCATCTATAAAATGGATGTACTTGGACTAGATATTTATAGTTAGAGGGAAAAGCAGAGTCTGAGAGGAATTCAGATATCCAAGAAGAGAACAAGTGGGCACCTAAGACAGAGGAGATATTTAGAATACTCCTGCTATTCCAAATGTGGTTCATAAGTAACAGATCTCTTTTCAAAGCAGCAGATCTCTTATGATTGGTAACAACCCTAAGGAATTTGAGATAAAGATCAGTCTTTAAAACTTTCTCTTCCGATAGTTTTCACAAGGGCCATTCCCTCTAGGTCCTCTCTGCCTACCATGCTTCTATTTCTTTTGGAAGACCTTTGGCCTGTCCTTAAAGTTGATACTGAATTAGGACTCCCCAAAAAGACTCTCCTCCCTAGGCAATCTTATCCATTCTCACAACTTATTCAATTTCCCTCAAGTACCAGACTTGGTACTTGAATTTTCAACCAAAAACTTATCGGTTTTTATCGAAAACGTGGTCCACTCTCTGCACACCTGCTCCCAATGTGAACTTTTCAAAAGTTTCCAAACCTTCAATTTTTAAGACACAGTTGCAAGGTGGGGGCAGAGAACCAAGGGAGTCCTAAAGTTTTGATTCTGTGTGCTTCTGAAGGTGCCTATTCCGAAATTCTGGGTTAATCCCCAGTCCTGGCCCTGGTTTGGACCAAGACCATTACAATATATCTTTCTAGTTACATCTGTCTCATTACAGGAAAGATCAAGGCAGAAGTGGCCACTTGCTCTGAGACTCAGGAGCCTCCCAATCTTCCCAGAGTACTTAAACTTCAATGCCTATGTTGAATTCTTCTTAAAAACTTGGTCATTATATGGAAAGCAATGCAGGTCATGAAACTGTCTATCCAAATCAAATGTATATCAGGCAGAACACTTATGTCTGCAGAAAGGCTCATTGGTTTTTAAGGAGAACAGTTAGTTCCTCCTCATCACCCAGAAGAAAGGATGGAGACCAGCAGGGCTGCAAAGAGCTATCCTTATGCAGAGCCCCCAAGAGGTGGACAAAGGGAGGCTGGGGCAGTCTTTGCTCACGAAAGGCAAGGCCAAGAGGGCTGCTCGCGCGCCCCTGCGCGGGGTTTGGCTCGGAACGGCCCCGAAGGATCCTCAGGGCCTCCCATCCTTGGCAGCTAGCCCGGACACGGCTACTTTTAGGGCTCCAAGAACAGGGGGCGACAAGACTGCACACTGGGACCGCGCGGTCCACTCTCCTGGACGCCATGAAGGCCCCAATGACCCCTTCCCCTCTCACCTGCGCCTCCGGTCAGCAGCCATTAGCCCCCTTTGCTGCAGGGCGGGAGGGGACCCTGCGCTCGGCGCCGCCATTTCCCGCTTTTCCCGGGCTGTGCACGCACCGCCCACAACCCAAACAAACCCAGGGCCGCCACTTCCTCTGCATCCCTCCCCCGACCTCCTGGGCAATCGCGCCTGCGCCTACTGCCCCTAGCCCCGCCCCGCTTTCAGGCAGGTCCGCCTTCGTGATGGTGCGTGCGCAACACAGAACTCTTGCCGGGGTCGCGCCGTCTAATGGGAAGAGAGCAGGCGCCGGCGGAACTGGAAGGGGCGGGGAATGGCTGAAGCCCCTCCTACTGAAGAATCCGACTGGCCATCGGCTCCCGCGGAAATCAAGGCCTCCTCCTTTGGCTCCTCCCCCCCCTCCCTGCCAATCCTGCTGCAATAACTTCCGGAGACCGAGGCAGTGAGACTTGTCGCTTTACTGGAGTTACCCCCAGGGGCGGCATGCACAGATTAGAGGGCGAACACCAGAAGGCGCTAGACAAGACCCCCGCGACGCATGTTGGTTTGCGGGGGAAGTGAGGAGCATCCCAGTCGCAGCACATTGGGGGTCTGAAGAAGCAGGACACGGGGCTGGGGTAGAACCCCAGCAGTCAGTCAGAGTGAAGCCGAAGGGGCTGGGGACACTCTGCAGGTGATCCCGCGCTCCAAGATAGATATTCAGGAGGGAGTCTCCTTGGATACTACCCTTCACCCGTTGCCAAGAAACACGTTGTTAACCTTTCTGACCTTCATCCATTGTCAAAACTTGAAGTCTACCTGGGGCAATTTACTCCACTGCTTTCAGACAGGATGAAGACCCTGCGTGGGGATTGCACTGTAGCTCCTGGGTAGGGGAGAGGCACAGTAACTGCTTCCCACATGGAGCAGGGACCATCAGAGCTGTGATTAGCCTTACTACTGTAGGAAGCTGGGTCACTCCTGATCCTGCCCAGCCCACCCTGTTAGATGTAAGGATCCTGCATTCTGTTTGTATGAAGTCCTCTGTATAGCAACTGTTCCATGATAGGGACTGAGACAAATGTGGAAGGCCTGGCTTCCTAGTCCTTGCCTTGCATTGAAATCAGGAGTTCATTCAAGTTATTTTTATGTTATTTACTAGCTGTATGTCCTAGTGCATGTTTTATAACTCCTCTGACCCTTGAAACCCCATTTTTCAATGAGGGTAATAATACTTAATAAGGCTGAAAGCCTGAGAGAGCTAACAGAGGTAAGGCATTTGGAACAGATGGAAATATATCTGTCATTCAGATATTACTTTACTTCCTTCCTCAGCTTCTCTGGATTACCCCACCACCTCACCCTAATTTAACTCTGGAAATACTGGGCATAGGGCATGTCATAAAATGTTGCCAGAAGACTCAAATTCTGTTACCCATTTCTTCACTGGGAAAGGCTTACCATAGCCTGACTCCCCTCTGGATTCAAGTCCCCATTTTTGATGTCCAGGCAGAAATGCGGTTCCTGACACATGGTGAGCGCTGGGAAATGCTGGTCAAATGAATGAATGGGTCTGATGTAGAGCCATAAGTCCTGAGAGAGTTGCTTAGGGGAGTGTCCAGTTGTTTTCATAGAAAACATTATCATCATCAGGGTGAGCAAAGCAGACATCATAGGCAGGGGGTGGAGTAAGAGGCTCCCTTTTGGGGGTTGCCCTCAAGCTCTGCAGATCAGGAGCAGTGGATATGACCCGCGGTCCCCGAAGCCGAAGGCTGATCAGAACTCTTCCAGGGCTTCCTCCTGGGGTCATAGCCCCCTCTGAGCCCACTCGTCTTTCCAGTCTATGTGTCACGGGCCTTTCTGATTGGCTAGGTTGTCCCCCATCAAGTTCTGGGGGGATTACAACACTGCTGTAAGGGGGTGGTTGATCCAGCTGTTGGGGGTGACTCTCTGATTCCAACACTACCATGGCCTCTTCATATGTTGGCACCTCAAAAGCTTCATTGTCCCTGGGGGAGAAGAAATAAGGTCATTAGTGGCTTCCTGAAAGGACCCCTTTTCCCCTTTCCTGTTTGCAATCCAGACCCCTCTACTGGTCCTTAACCCTTGCTCTCATTAGTACCAGTGAAGGAGGAAAGCAGAGTCTCTTAGAGTCTAAAGGTGTAGAGGAAGGATGGTCCCAGTATGTATTCCTGTCATCCACCCACACCTTCACTCACCGTGCATTGCTTGGGGTCTCTGGGCTCTCTGTCTGCATTGATCGGAGCCCCCGTTCCAGAAAACAGGCCAGGAGGGAGGCAAACAAGAAGAAGCCAGCCAAGGTGAGAAAAAAATAAGCAACAGGGGCGATGTCTGGCCATATGCTCAGTAAAGCCAGCCCCAGGAGTAGGGAGGCACAACTCAGGGAGAGAAGTGGTTTCTCCAGTCTCCCCCACAATTGGCTTGGCACCATGGCCCTGCCCAGAATGCCTGCAAAGAGATACACAGCTATGGTGTGTAACTAGAAATTGGGATCATGGCTGTACCAGGTAAACAAATTATATTCCTCAGGTGGGTTCCATGTGCTTCAATCTCAAATAATGACCTGCAGGATCCCCTCCAAGTCCACAGTTCTCTCTAGGTTATCATGTAGCAGGAAACCAGCCCAAGAGTTCTGACTTCCAGCATTCAAGCGAGTTTATTGTGTCTTGGCTCTGCCTGCATTCCTTTCTCCTTACCTGTAGTCTCCCTTCCATCTTCCCTATAAACCATCCAGAATCCAGTGCAGGCCACCCTGCCACGGCCTCAGTGCACACCGGCATCTCTGGAATCCAGGTGATTCTGGAATCCAGGTGATGGGGCAGGCCCGCCTTTCTCCATTATTGCACCTGTTGGACCTCCACCCTTTGTTTCTCCAGCTAGAGGCTTTCAGTCTGATCCAGTTGGAAAGAGAAGGGGTATATCACTTACCCTGTCTGTCCCGGTTATCTTCCAATGTCCCCACAGTCAGCCATGCTCTAGTAAAGAGAGAAAGTACACATTGACGCAGCAGAGCCACAGGGACACAATTATGTGAGAAAGAATCTTACAAAGGCCTGGTAGGGGACAAGGCCCTGATCACTCTTGTCCTCTTTGACCCCATATCTGCCAGACACCACTCCATCCCCAACTCACTAAACTGGGGTTTCAAGTTTCTGCTAGGAGTCAGAACAGGGGCAGCAAGTTTAGCGGACAAGGGAAAACTTTTCTCTCACAGTAACAATCCTGAAGCAGTCCATATCCCCAAACCAGCCTGCCAATTCCCTGAAGTTTATATAGCAAAATGTTATAGATCCCCCTCCTGACACACCAGTCCAATTCCTCAACCCCAGCCCCGCCCCCCCCAGCGGCCTCAGGAGTTCCTGCTCACCTGTTTCCATAGACTGCAGGAAGCAGGTCTGTGTGTGGGGTGGGGGTGGGGAAGGGTGCTGGGGGAAGGAGGCGGAGTCCACTGGCCCCACCCTCTCTTCTGCCCCAATCCCTTTGTCCTGCCCAGTCTTCCTCCTCCCCTCTCCCACCAAGGCTGACCTCCTACTATCCCCACCTGGATTTCCTTTCCACCTATCCATACAAAGTCTTGATGAGCGGGCTCCCCCATCCTAGTGATCTTTGTACTTAGGACCCAAAGTAGAATTAACCTTTCTCTTCTTTTCAATGCACTGGAAGTTAATCAGCCTGGGCAGTTTGCCTTTTATTTAGGTAATTTATTTTCTGCCTGTCTTTCTGACCAGAGTGGTTATTTTGTTTCTTATTTCACCTTTGTGGACCACAAGGTGCTTGGCACTTAGTGAGCCATGGTGTGTGCTTGGAGTGGGTGCATAGCTTCTGCTGTTGTTGCTGCAGACTGCCTCTTTCCTGCCAACCTGTCAGAGGGGTGTGTGTGTGTGTATGTGTGTGTGTGTGTGTTTCTTGGCCTGTTTAACTCTTGATTCTTCAAAATTCACTTAGGGGTGATACCTGCTTTGGAGCCTGTCTGCACTGTATAGCCACATCATTTTTTTATTTCTTTCTCTGGGCCTTTTCCTGGTTATATACTTTTCTTCCACTGTTCCTTAAGGAGAGTTATTAGTTTCAGTCATCTTTGAAACCCTGAAACTAGTACGGTTCCTGTCACAGGGTAGGTATGAGCTCAGTAGAGTTGATTCCAGTATCAGAAGCCACCTTGCTTGAGGCCTCATGACACTCTGTGGATCCAAAGCCACTCCTTAGCTTTGGGTCAGGCAGTAAGTCTCTGTGAGGGAGGTGCTGGGAAATGGAGAGTGGCTGGAGCCTATAATGTCCTGGAGCCACTCAAGACTGGACTCTTTTCCTTCTGCCTGTTAGTGGGAATAAAGGGGGAAGCTGCAGACAGAGGGGCACAAATATAATCCAGAGCCCCCAGGGACAGTTGTGGGGGTCTAGCCAGGCTGCTGTAGCAGAGGGTACGTGGAGTGTTCACCCCAGGGCTGCAAATGTTCCAGCCTACTGTTTTCCAGTCCCAAAGAAAGAGTTTGGAAGACTCAACAGAGAGGTTTTGGACATTTTATAACTTACTCCTTAGCAGCGGCCATGGTGATGTAACGGAGGGATGCATGTGCCTACAGCCAGGGGAATATGCACGACAGGCTGCAGCCCACTGCACAGGTGGTTTTCCCCAGATGTATTATGAGTACATTCCTTTATTTCACAATCCTCTCTTCAGATGCTCTCCTAAAGATAGAAGATAAGAAAATGGCCAATTTCCCCCTGTCTATTTCCTGAGGTATCACATTCCTTAGAGACTTTATCTTACTGCAAGCTTTCCTGGGCACTGATCAGTGTTTAACCCAACAGTGGTGTTTGTGTGTGTGTGTGTGTGTGTGTGTGTGTGTGTGAGAGAGAGAGAGAGAGAGAGAGAGAGAGAGAGAGAGAGAGAGAGAGAATATGGATATGTGTGCAGTATTAGCTTCATTTCCTTTGTCTCAGATCATTATGGGAAGAGGGAAGAGAGTGATGGTAACCACTTGAGGTGTGTCTATACACAGTAGACTTTGGAAGTGGAAGAAGAGAGTGGTTATTTTGTTTCCACCAATATGGCTAGAATCAGGATTTTGACCTTCAGTTAATATATGAACAGAAGGAAATTGACCAGGCATTCATCTTTGGTATGTGTGCTAAGTTAGGGAGCTTTGTTGGAAGGTGTTTGGAGAGGGAAGAAGGTACAGAGTAAAAGACAAAGGTCAAAAGGTGTGGGCCTGAATGTCTGCAGTGTGAGGGAGGGTTCTGCTGTCTGGGAGAGGTGGGGCCATTCATAGCTTAGGGCTCTTCCAAGTCAGAAGAGGGTGCTGGACTGCCTGCTGGCTGTTCCCTTTATTAAAGCAACAATTTAAAATAGGTTTTTTTAAAAATTGCATTTGTTAAAAAAAAGAAGTTACAAAATATTTAAAAGCTAAAGAAAAGTGATTTGAAATATCCTAATATGACCATTTAAAATTTTTACAATTCCTTCCAGGTTGTCCACATACAAACTAGACTGTTCTTCAGTTGAGATCAGATTAATTTCATCATTTGGTATTTTAAAAAGTTTCAAACATTATATAGAGTATATTTTGCCAGTTACTATAGTTCTTTTTCTTTTCTTTATATATAAATATTTTTTTTGGGGGGGGGGTGAATACTAAGCACACATTCTCTACTGACCTATATACCCCATTCTTACAATAGTAATTTCTAATAACCATACAATATTTTGTTGAATGGATATGCCATAATTTGGCTAACATACCCTTATGATGTATTGCTCTATAACACTGAGCTTATTTCATTCAGTTTTCTGGGTTATTAAAAATGAAGCCACAAGAAAAAGAAAGGTGGGGGAGGGTCCTGTGAAAATCAATGGGGGATCAGTAGGGTAGAGGAAAGAGACCAGCAGGGGAGAGAAAAGGGGAGGAGAAGGGGAAACCCGGGGGAGTTTGTATATGTATGAATATGTGACCATGAATTCCACCATTATGTACAACTATAATGTGCCAATGAAAATATGGGGAAAAAAATGATACCTCAAGAAGCAGAAAGTAGTTTGAGGTTGCAGGGACCACAGTGGGGGAGGGAAGGTTGAGCAGTACTTGCTAAATGTTTTTTTTTTTTTTTTTTTTTTTTTGCGGGGGTGACAAAAATGTTCTGGAGTTAGTGGTGATGCTTGCAGAACTCTATGAATATACTTATAAAAACCCCAGTGAGTTGTACACTTCAAAAGGGTGAATTATTTCTCAGTAAAGCTGTTTAAAGATAATGTAATGAACATCTTCTTACAGGTAGTTTTTCCTTCTTTTTTGGATTGAATGATGAACTCTAAGAGGAGAACGAATTATAAGTTATGTCATCAAGAGGCAAGCAATATGAATGATTTTATTGCTCTGAATACATGTGGCCAAACAGTTCCCCAAAGATTTTCCTTTTTTCTTTTCACTAACTTAGTATCTTAGAAAAATGCAAATGCATGATTTGATTAAACTATCATTCCACTTTCTACTTGGCTGCTTTTGACAAACCTGTGAGAGGTTAAATCACTCCTCTCTGCCCACTCACGATTTCCACCTCATCTTGGGGACAACAATGGAGACCCGGGAAGGGGGAACAAAGGAGGAGACAGATGATTGTGATTGTGGTGAGATCTGGGTGTCCCAATGGGTGCTTGTCTCTGCTGTGCATTTCTGTGATCTTGTGTTTCTGAGTCTGGGTCTGCTTCATAGTTGTGGTCAACATGCATGGGATGTTTGATGTGTACTGCTCCCTGTGCTTGGAAACACAAATTAAGTAATTTGAAGTACATTAGGTAGTTTCTGTGATTTTGTCCATTTTATGGATGAGGTCAGAAACTCGAGGGACCTGAGTCTAATCAGACTGACCTAATCAGAGTTGGGATCAAGGTTTGAATCCACATCCAAGCTTAGAACCCTGGCTCTTAACCACTGTATCATCCCCCTCCAAACACTTTTAGTGGCTGCCCACATAATGATAATTTAACAAAATACCTACAGCAGTCTGGTCTCCCTGAGGAGTGGTTCGTGGTTCGTTGCTGTTTTCTCCAATGTTTGACATATTAACAGAAGGCTGTTCTTGAGGCAGCAAGGTCAGCACAGAAGACCACCAGACAATAAGGGAAGGTTAGGGACACACAAGGCAGGAGGGGAAGCTAAGACTGCACCTGTGCACCAGGATGCTAACTTTCCATCATCTACTTAAGACCGAACAACCCGAGATCCTAATGCTGAGGCCACTGGCTTCTTCTGAAAGGATATTGGTGGTCATAGCTATTTATCTGTGTAGAAACAATTGATTGGACCCACATACGAAGATCCTTAATAATAAACATGAAGGGTAAGTCTGATCATCATTTTCATTTTACAGAGGAGGAAACCAGTTCAGAGAAAAATGCATGATTTATTTAGTTAGAACCAAATTCAGAGCCGTGACCTTTTAACTCAGACAGATTTTCTGCTCCACAATTATCTTATTTCTTCCAAAGAACCATAAATCCTCCAATAATGGAGGAAAACTGCGTGCCAGCGCCCTCACTACTAGTTTCAGTATCATACAATGCTCCCTAAGAGAAAATGTGAACAATGGTGTTTGGGCAGTTGCCTCAGCTCAGGTGTACAGCAGGACGTCACCAAAAGCTCTTCTGAAACTTGAGAAAGTGAGTGTGGTTGTTGCTGAGCAGCCGCAACAACAAAAGCACCATTTGTTAGAAATGCCTTCAGATGGTAGCAAAAGTCCCACATGTGTGCTCCCTAAAAATACCAGCAAACAGAAGGCATTGGGGTTAAGCACGTGTGTTTTGGAGATGGCCAAACCTGGTTTTAAACAGCTCATTTCTGCAAGTTGTGTGCCCTTGCTTAAGTTACATAACCTTTTGAGCTTCAGTTTCTAATCCCTAAATTGGGGAAATTAAGCCCAAGTTTACTGCCCCCTTTCTATTTGTATTCCTCACCTTGGTGAACTGCAGGTTTTTGGTTTGAATGTAAGGGACACATCTGTATGAGACCAGGGTGGGGGGACCATCCTGTGACTGGGCACCTGATGTCACATGGAACATTTGTTTGTTAACATTGCACATGACCTGGTGCTAACCTCCAAGAGTCCCTACCCAGGAAAGGTAACATTTGATCTTGATCTTTGGGGTTTTTGTGATGTGGGTAGGGAGATAAAACACCATATGAAAGAAATAATGATTGAGGACAGTATCGGAGATTGTATCTTGTGGATATTAATAAATCTTGAAGAACATAAAAGTTAGAGATTACTAAAATATAATTATTTTATTTAGTTAAAAATAATTTAAGTTGTAGTATAAAATTTAATAGTTAACAAGATTATAGTTGAAAGCAAGTCTCCTTATAGTGCTAAACTGGTCTCTTGGATCCCTTCCCCAGAGGAAGTTTCCTGGTGTTTTCTAGGTAACTGTGTTCACACTACCCTGACAGAGACCATGAGTATGCAAAAGCAATATGTAGATAGGAATGGCAGCACACATCTGTAATCTCAGCAGCTGGGTGGGGAGAATGGAGAGGTTTTGAACTAGCCTTAGCAACTTAATAAGGCCCTCAGCAACTTCTCAAGACCCTGTCTCAAAATAATAATAATACAAAAAAAGGCTGGGGATGTGGGCTCAGTGGTTGAGTGCCCCTGGGTACCAGGAAAAAAACACACACAAACACATACAGAAAAGAATTTTGTAGTGTATCCACGACCTAATCTTGCAATTAACATTATATGTACTTGCTTTATTATGTGTTTCTCCTTCTATCTATGCCTTTGTTCATTCATCAATGTATCTTTTTTTTTTGATGGGGGGAGTATTGGAGATTGAACTCTGAGGCACTCAATCACTGAGCAACATACCCAGCCCTATTTTGTATTTTATTTAGAGACAGGATCTCACTGAGTTGCTTAACACCTCGCTTTTGCTGAGGTTGGCTTTGAACTCTCCATCCTCCTGTTTCAGCCTCCTGTGCCTCTGGGATTACAGGTGTGTGCCACCACACCCGGCTCATCAATATATCTTAATCCTTAGTACATTTCAAAGAAGTCTGCAGACGTAAGCACACTTCTGCCTAAATACTTCAGCATGCACAAAAATGGAGTTCAATATTTGCTTTGAAGTAACATCAGTGTAGAACAAAGCATACAGATTTTAAGTAGCTCATGCTCCAAATTTTGACAAAGGCATACACTTGTGTGACCTCAACTCCATTTAAAATGTGAAACATTATTATTGTCCAGAAAGTTTCTTCATATCCCTTCCCAGTCAATTCCATATGCAAATATTATTTTTTCCAACTTTTGAAATACATTTTTATATTATAAAACATGTATTTGATTTTATTGTGTGTGTGTGTGTGTATGTGTGTGTGTGGTGCTGGGGGTTGAACCCAGGGCTTTGTGCTTGAGAGATTTTATTGTATTTTAGGAAACATCTATTAATGTGTTTAATGACTTTCCAGCTGATAACCATTTAGATTGTTTTCAGGATTCTGCAATTAATATTTTTCTCCATTTGTCTTTATTTACATGTATATATAAGAAACATTTCTCAAAGTGAGGCTTTTGATAGGTATGACCAAATTCAAAGAAGGTGTAGCTGGCCACACTTCTGCTGCTGGGGCCCTGCTTCCTCATGCTCTGAGGGAAGGAGTTGACAAATTTTTATCCTGCACTGGCGATGTGGACAATCTAAGGGGTGCATTCAAGAGGCAGCTCAGAGAGGAATCTCACTCACTGGGAGCTACAGACCAGAGAGGACAGATGCCTGTACAACTAACTGTAAGACAAAGTTCCAAGTGACCGGGGCTGGGAGTGAGGCACAGGTGCTGCTGGGTTTCAGAGAGGACACTGAGTGCTGGGCAGGGTGGGGATGGGGAATGTGCCAGGGAGGAAGCAGGGTTTGTCCACACTCCTTTTATGCATGGCTCGGTAATAGGCATGGGGCAGGGAATAAATACTTGTCAAATATTTTATTGGTAATTAGTGAATACTTACTGATTTAATGAGTCATGATCTTCTGATCCCTTGGTTTCCCCTTAATTGACACACACCCTATTCAAATCTTTTCCAGTCTGGCACAAGCTAAAGCCAGCCACACCCTTGAACATGGGCTTGGCTGTAAAAAGGAGTTAGGATTATTTCTTTAGAGGTGGTAACCTAGGAAAATATCAAATAATGATTAAAAACAGACTTATATATTAGTGATTTATTTAAACTGAGATTCAAATTTTTTTTAAAAATATAGATTTTGAACTGTGGACTGAGTCTGGAGTACTCTACCACTGAGCTATATCCCTGGTCCTTTTTATTTTTTATTTTGAGACAATGTCTCCCTAAGTTGCTGAGACTGGCCTTGAACTTGCAATCATCCTACCTCAGCCTCCTGGGATTGCAGGCATGTGCTACCGCACCTAGCTGAAATAAATAAAAATTTCTTATTTATAGTACATATTTTATTCATTTATTTAAAACATATAGTACATGTTTTAGTTAGCTTTTTTGTTGCTGCAACTGAAAGACCCAACTAGAACAACTGTAGAGGACAAAAAGTTTATTTGGGGGCTCACAGTTTCAGAGGTCTTAGTCCACAGAAGTCCTGTGCTATTCCTCGGGGCTTGAGGTGAGGAAGAACATCATGGTGAAAGAGTGTGGGAGGAAGCAGCTCACATGGTGATCAGGAAGTAGAGAGAGATTACACTCTCCACATACAAAATATATACCCCAAAGCCACGTCCCAATCCCTACCTCCTCCAGCGACAACCACCACTTCAGTTGCCACTGTTAGTCTCTATCAGAGGATTAATTCACTGATTAGGTTAAGGCTCACGTAACCCAATTATTTCTCCTCTGAACCTTCTTGCATTGTCTCACTTGGAAGCTTTTGAGGGACACCTCACATCCAAACCATAACAGTAGAAAAACATCACTGTTCAAATGGCAGCACATGAAGCCAGCTGCCCATTCCACTGCAGTTCTCTAGTCTTGTATCATGTAAATGCTTTCCATGCCTTTATAATAAATTAGTGATATTTAAACAATTAAATGATATTTAAAAAATTCAAAAGGTGTGTGTCTGATCCAAGCCAAGGTTTTACTTTTCCCCAAGATTAAAGAGACTCTCTTAGCTGGGATTAAGGGGATGGGACAATTAAGCAATGGTCCAGTTGGCCTCCCAGCCTCTGCTGGCCTCTGGCCACCTTTCAGTGCTTCTACTTTTGCTTGTGCATAGGAATAGCAGTTGAATGAAACTCCTTCGAGAAGGAAAATGATGGGTAATGGGTGTCCAATGCTTACTTCCACACAGACTCCCACTATCACTCATCTGCCCTGCTTTCCCAGCAGCAGCATTTCCGGCACTCTCCATTTGACTTTTCAACTTTGTAACTTCATCCTCCTCTCCTGCGACCTTGCAGTCTCCTCCTCCTTGCTACCTCCATCTCTGTTTTGCTTCTCTCCCTGACTCTCTTCCCTCTTCTTTGCTCCATTTATTCAGGAAGCATTTTCTCAGCATGTATGATGTGCTTACAGGATCAGCTACAGCCACAGAATGTGTGAGATTTAGTGCAAAATGAAAAATTCAGGACTGCATGTTAAAAATTATGAAGAATTTCAAGACAGTGACTGCAAGGGTAAAGCCACTTGCAAGGCCATGTGAATGTGTAGGCTGCAAGCCTGTGAAGCTGGTCTGTGCGCATAGTACTGTGGGGATAAGGCAAAACATGGAGCATCACAAAATTATAATCTCATTACATCCTTTTTTTTCCTGACAGTACTTATGTAACATTTTAATACCTTTAATTATGTTGCAAATAGTTGTGTGTATTTATAAGGCACAATGTGATATTTTAATATAGTACATTATTCTATGTCTTGGCAAACTGGTTAGTTACAAAGTTTATGTGGCTTCGTCCTCTGTCCCTGACAGAGACAAACAGGCGACTGACTAAGGAAAGGAGGGGATTGTTTCCCCAGGTCTGCCCCACAACTGTCCAACAGGAGGCTAAAGAGCAGGGTGGGTTGTCCTGAAAGAGCTCTTTTTGCTCCACTCCTACAGTAGACAGGATGTGATTGTAGGACTGAGGGTATGGCAACACCACCAGCAGACTCAGACATAGAAAGGTTTTGCCTGATGGTATTAGGTTTATTTTGTGGGATAGCAGAATTTGGGGCTTTCATAAGGCACTTATAAGGCATAGAATTAAAGGTAACCACAGCTAAGGAGAGGCCCACTCCCCATTATCCCTGGGGACAGGTGTAAGAGAGCACTTTTGGGGCCACAGAGGACACCCTGCCAGAGAGAGAAATCCAAGTCCAGTGCTCCAATAGTGTGGCAGGAGAGAGGTGTGACAACAGGCCTGCTTGTTGATACCAAGAGCCTGCAGGACAATCTTAAAGTCTGGCATTCAGGGTTGGAGGCACAGGGCCCATCCACTTCTCTCCTGCATGAAGAAAATCACAGATGTCTACACGCTATTTTCAAGTGAGTTGGCAGAGAAGTTGGCCCACGGGGGTTTTCCAGGAAGCCAAAAGGCTTCCTTCTCTTCCATGGGGGGTGGTGGTGGCACCTCCCACCCCATTTGACCTTGAGCAGCACTGACTATCCAAGGCTTCCTGTTGGATGTGCCAAGAATATTTTGCTCTGAACCCTTCTGTCTAGTCAACTGATATAACAGAAGTGGGGCTGGAATCAAAGGCTGCGGGAACTTGAACTTACCCAGCAGGTATGCCAGCAACTCCATTCGGTCAGAGCCAAATAGCATGTGAGTTTGGCCATCCACATGGGCCACGGTGACAGGCAGTCCAAAGGCCTGAGAAAGCAGTTAGTAGTGCAGGGGGCAAGGTGGACCAGGTGTTTATTAGGCTGGGGTGGAAGGCTATAGTAACTTTTATTAGGGACCATAGAAGCAAAGCCACCAAACAAATGTTTGAAAAGAGGCTCCATGATGCAAGGCACCTTCTCTGCTTCTATAGCACAGAGGCTCTGAATTTCTCTCAACATGTTCCTTCCCCACCTATCTTGGGCTCAGGCAGAGGAAGAGAGGAAAGGATTGCCTGGAGAGCTAAGAAGGACTCATGAGGGCAGGGGGCTTTTGGGTAGGAGCCCCATGCTCAGAGATTCTCAGGCTGTACCTTCAGGATGGGGCTTGGGAACACACAGTCACTCACCCCATATTTACAGGCCACCTCTGTGACCTCCCTGAGCTTCTTTTTCACCTCGGCTGTGGAGATCATCTCCAGAAGGCCTTGGGCTTGCTCTGCAGATAGACCTGCCTTCTCTGCAGCCTGAGGGGACATGAGGGAATATAACTGTTGGCACTATGAAGGTGAAGCTCTATAGAAAATTCTGGTTGTTCTTTTTCTTCCTCCAAGCTTTCCTGGCAATGTCTTGACCCACCCATCAGTGGTGGTCAATTCTTGTCAAGAGAAACTCTTCTTTCTCTAAAATCTTCACAAAAGTGAAAAGAGCAGAGGGCACAGAATCATAGTCACAGAAACTAAATGCCAGAGAGCATCTTAGAAATCAACTAATCCTACCTCTTCCCTTCAGGAATGAATTACAAATTACTAGCTCAGAGGCAGAGGCTGTTGGCAGCAACACTAGATTCCAAGTCCCTAGAATTTAAGTCCTGTCACCATGGCCCATGTGGTTCCTTCCTTTCTTGGATTTCCTGAATATCTCATGCTGCTTTTTTGTTTGTTTTGCAGTGCAGGGGATGGAAGCCTGGGCCTGAAGCATGTTAGACAACTGCTCTACCACCAAGGTACACACTCAGCTCTCATGCTGTTTTGAATCAGTGGCTGGATTCTAATTCCCATGGAACTATTCAGAACTCTGGAATAAGGTCATGGCTACAGCTACGTACTTGGCTTCAAGAGAATGATAAAGACTTCAGTTTAAGGGTGGTTGTTAAGGTTTGGGATCAGTGATTCTTACCTCTTGAGCTGCACATTAAAATCTCCTGGGAGTTTAAAAAAAATTCTAATGTATAATCCATCCCCCAGTCTCTACTGGAATTTCTGGGAATAGGGTGGCACTCAGTTGTTCTATGTATTGTTAATGTACTGCTTAGGTTGAGAAGCACTGCAACCTGACTTCACGAAGTCCATGCTAAAGACTCATCATCTTTGACAGGTTAAATAAGAGAATGTGTCCTGGACCAAACAAATGTTCAACAATAGGGGAATGGATAAGTAAACAGAAAGGTCACTGGGTGGAATGCTAGAGACAATAAACAACACCTTCAAAAAGTTAAGGTTGGAGCAGAAAATGATAAGTAAAAAAAGCAGGTTAAAAATATGCATATACTTTTCAGGAACAAAGAAAGACGTCAGCAGATGTATTGACTGATCTTTGTTACATTTAACTGGTATGATTCACCACCATTTGTTAGGTATGAATATGCATCATCTATCTTCTGTAAGCTGGAGGAAAAATACTGTTCTGAATTTCCTGACTTAATCCTAAAGAACATTTTACTTTAAAGCCCCTGTGTCTGTCTGGCATCGATGCTTCGAGCTCTTCACTCAGTGTCTATATAATTCTGGCACTTGTCATTATCCCTTTTTGTCTTTTTAAAGTCTCCTGCTTTCTACTCTGCATGTATTGGGGTCCTTGGAGATTTGTGAATACTCCATCCTTCCCCATCTGGAATTCTAATACTGATCATCTCTTTCCCACTGACTTCTTTCATCAAATACATTATATCCACGGTTGCCCATTTTGCATTTCCTCTTGCAACCATGAGAATTTTTTCTGTTTTGGTGCAGATTGAACCCAGGGCCTCAAGCAGGCTAAGCACACATTCTACTACTGAGCTATACCCAGCCTCTGAGACATTCTTTTAAGAATCCTCCTCATTCAAGCTTTCTGGTAATTTGTTCCCTTAAACACAGATACTCTTTCTCTCCAAACCTCTCGGGCCTTTCCCATGCAGTATGAAAAATACTGTGTTCTTCCCTCTCAAGTGCCAGCTGTTCTCAGGTTCTCTACAATTGTACTGGGGATGGAGTCAGGGTACTCACAGCCAGGATGCTCTGGGGCTCTGAGATGTCTTGGTCCTAGGAAGAAGAGAATACTCAGCAGGAAGCAGTGTGGCAGGAGAGAGGTGTGACAACAGGGAAGGGCACGATCAGAATTCAAGAAATGGGCCTCAAAAGGGTCAGATCCTCCAGAGTTCCTCCACCCCCCCACCCCCAGTGAATTCCCACATTCCTGCCCTCACCCGTGACCAGACTCGCATCCATAGCTCCCTGGACACCTTCTCCAGCATCTCTGGGTTCTCCATTTTCACAGCAGTAAGGAATCGCATGGCAGATACACTTCCTGTGGGCAGAGGCATTCAGAGATAGGGCTCCTCTCCTTTGTATCAGGATGGAGGACCAGCTATTCTGATGTCCCCAAGGCTCTATCACCTGCAGCCTTTCACCAAGTTTCCCATGACCAACTTGCCCTGCTCAGTCTAAGTCCCCATGACCTTTAGCTCACCCTGCTCTGATCCTGAAGTTTCCCAAGGATGTTTCACTTAAGTTAGTCTCCAGAGTCCCTCCTTCCTGGCCCTCTGATCTCCAGCTGCTCTGCTCTCCACTTGATTCCCCACATGCAGCCCACTCTTGTTACCTTTTTCAATAATCACAGAGAAGAAATCCTTGGGGAATCTGAGGGGAACCTGGAAATGCTGTTTCAGGAGACTGAGTTCACTTTTCAAGTACTGTCCTTTGCGAGGAAGCAGACCTGGGGGTTTGTTTCCTGGCAGTGGAGAATTGTACATGCTGAGAGAAGACCTAAGAGTCCCAGGCTTGGAGGATCCCTCCCTGGTTGAAGGGCAGAGGGTAAATTACTAGCTGCAGGTGCCAATATAAAGACTTGGTTGAGGACAGCTCCTCCAGACCACTGAGATCAGCCCTCCTGCAACACCCCCGCCCAGCCTACCCCAAATGCTTCTCCTTTCCTACCGCTGTCTTTCATGATTCCTGCAATGAGAGTGGGCTGCAACTGTAGCTTGATGTTCCAGATCTTCTGATACCTGCACAGGACCTACTGGTGCAAAGGAGGTGAGCCAGTGTGGACCACAGAAAAAGTGACATGCTGAAGGAAAGGGATGGGGCTGGCTCAGGGCAACCAACTAACGGGCAGAGCAATGGTGTTAAGAGCACTGAATTGTTTGGTGATAAGATCAAAACACTCTCCAGTCCTAGAAATCGATTCCATGATCTTTGTTCCTGTGGATGGTTTCCATCCCGTTCTTGATTATTTGGAGTTTGCCCCCGTTCTTTCTCACTATTGTGGAAAGCAACTGTACCATCTTAGGAAATAAAGACTCCACTTGGAAATTAGGACTGCGACTCTATTTAAAAGCACACAGTGAACTTCAATCAGGTACGCTCTCTGTCCTAACCCCAAGGGCAGTTCCAGGAATTTTTGGAGGCCTCTGCTCCACTGCTCTGCGCTCGCGCTACCCGCTGCCCTCGCCCTTCAGGCTCTCCCACTGTCACCTCGAAGCACAGCCAGGAGTACGGGGACAGGACGTCGTAGAAGAGCTCCAGGGTGCGCGGCAAGGGCCCCATGCTGCAGCGAAGGAGACCAAAAGCGAGGCGGACCGCTGGAGTAAAGGCTGCGAGAGAGCACCTTTGCTCCTTGGCCCCAGGCTCCGCCCGCTTTGCTTTTTTGGGCCCGCCCTTCGACCCGCCCACCGCGGTGGAGAGACGTTCCTGGGGCCCAATGGGGCGAATCGCGAAGGATTTCGCCTAGGCTTGGTGCAGAGTGCACCGGAAGAAGACCCGCGCGAGGATTGAGAGGGGTGGGGCTGGCACCTGCAGTCTCCGCCCCGTATGAGGTGGAGGCCGGGGCGCAGAGGGTGGTGTGAGACGTTTGTGGGGTCGCCCAATTACCTGTGCTCATTTAGCGAACCACTAGACCCCTCAGAACCTCATTCCTCCAGCAAATGGGATCTACTTAATGATTTAAGAGT